GCCCCAGCAGCGCGGCGGGTCCCGGACGGATCGGCACGGAAAGCGGCCGCTTCCCCCACGAACGACTTCATGACGGCGGCAAGAAACAGGCTTAGAAGAATTTAGGAAGCCTTCCTGCTTGAAGCGTTGACGCATCTGAAAAAATTATGGAAGTTATTTATAGAACTAGTCCGTTTATACTCATAAGACTGTCCAATGATGTGCTAACCTAGGAAGGCAGTAAAGTTATCCGTGCTGTGAAATACGTGACATTTTTCTGTCAGTGATGGAGAGTATATAGTCAATGATATCTGACCTGTAGCTGTGAAGGGCAGAGCTTTTCACTGAGATTAGTTTGGGAGATGAAATTACTCTAATCAAAGGTCTTGCACTCGTGGTAATCCATTCTGCATCTGTACCTGGAGAAAGTGTTGCCAGATGACAGAGCAGAGACAGTTTTAGCTTTTCATCTCTCGCAATCACAAGGAAATGAATGCTGTATGTGGGATAATGATGAAGTTTGTATTGCTGCAATTTATTGTAAGGCAATTGCAGCTTGAGACTTGTGTGAAACAGTGATACTGAATCATGTTTTGAATAACTGTAGCATGTATCTCTGTCAGAAAATCACTTAATATTTTGTTCTCTTGTTTTGTGACTTAGAGAATGGCACAGCCAGTGAAATTATTTTTTCCACGTATTCATTAAAAAATAATTCTCATTTCAGTGGATACAACTTTGAAGTTATAATCATAGATGATGGAAGCCCTGATGGGACACAGGAAGTTGCTGAACAATTGGTCAAGATATATGGACCAGATAAAATAGTGAGTTGCGTATTTTGTTTGGTTTTTATTTTTATTGTACGGGAAAGTACTTGAAATCATTAGAGGACTGGAACCAGAATCCCTAGTTTCTATACTGAATTTCTTTATACCCTTAGGCAAGTTATTTAAGGTCTGCATGCCACTTCAGCCACATGTAAACTTTGTGCATGCCTGAGGGAAAGATGAGGTTTTGAGGAAGTTGAATTTCAATTTCTGTGGCTGTAGGAATAGGAGGAAAATTAGAAAGATGAAAGCTAGTGTGGTCTTGTGATTTATTTTTAATATGTTTGGTTTTATTTCTCAAGAACAGGACTATTTTCTCAAGAACAGGACTATTTTCTATTGTGTACGTTAATACAGAACAATCAATAACGTATAACAAGATACTGTCATTTCCTTATTCTTTAAAGCTATTCCTTTTTGACAATAAAAGTATTATTACAGAACAGTATGAAAACCAGAAGTTCAGCTTGACAGAGGTTTGTCCTGTAAACAGTGTCAGACTTTTCTTTCTAATCCATTACTGTGTAATTGTAACTTTTAAAATAGCACTTGTGAATTAAGTAGTATTTATGAAGATCACTTTAAGGAACAATATAGATACAAAGTTTTGGAGTCTTTATCTTTTTAGTAATAGGGAAGCTTAAGATGGTTAGCTAAACTTTCCTCGCTGCTTAATGGCTGAATTTGGCAGTCTAATCTGTGTACCAGCCCCTGCAGCGTTGTAGAGTCTAGCACACTTAAGTGGAATTACGTGTAGGCACAGGCCAACGTGTAGCCCGTGCCAATATTACTGCAGAAGTCTGAAAAAAACCAGATCTGATTTCTCATTAGGTCAATTTTCCGTCTTTCCTGAAATTACCTATAGGCAGTAAGCAGAATCATTGCTCTGATTTGTGCTCAGGGATCTGCATTTAAATAACTTCATGTGGTTCTTACTTACTAAATTATACTTACTCAACATGGTATGTAGTTAACTTGATAAGAGGGCAACGTGTTCAGGGAAGTAGATGAGGAATCAAACCAATTTCTTATAAATGTTCAAATATGACTATTTATTAAAGAAAAATATAGGGGGAGAGGGGATCAGAAACCAAAATGAAAAATCAGTAGAAGCATTAATGATTGCTAACTCTTTCATATCCTTGTCCTTCTCTGACTTTCATTGCAGTAGTTACGATCTCTCTGATAATGCATCAAAATTAGTGAAGATTTAAAAGCGAGAAGTCTAAAAAATTGCTTGCGAAAAAGAAGCAAAGATTTATGTTTTTATTATTTATTTAGATTGAAATATCCACTCTCTCTTTGCCAAATGCTAAATATGCAAGATGGTAGTTAATTTTTTTTTTTAACTGCACAACCACTAAATAAAGCTTAGAAGGAATTTATTTCTAATATGATTTGATTAAATTCCTATTTAATATAATGTATTTATTGCTCCTGTATTTTGTCAGATAAATTTGTATGCATTATCTATATATTTAAAAATAAAAATGATCTTTTAAAATATTTTTTATACCTTGACAGTATAGAATGTCACAAAAAGTAATTAAAAACTGTATTGTAAGTAATACATATATATTTTACTATATCCTGCAGCTTCTAAGACCCCGAGCAAAAAAGCTGGGCCTGGGTAAGTACTTATTAACTGCTTGTTTATAGTTTAAAAAAAAATCTGTACTCTTTGTTTGATTTTAGTGTATAAAGTTCAAGAAGAATCATAGTAAAGCCCACAATTAGAGATATGTTTTCGTCCAATTTTTATAAGCAAACTTAAAAACTACACACATAAAAATCATAGTGAATTTATAGCAAGTTTCCCACAACTTCAAATCTGCATACTGTGGTCACTGGGATTCTGTACAACTATGCTTTGCTGTTAACATCCTGCTGCCTCTCTACATCTCATACTGATGACAGAATCAGGGGCCTAGATTAAGACAGCATGTAACTTCTGCAATGGTAACTGCTATTTTTGTGTAAGGACCACTGACCCAGAGAAGACAGCAGTGCTTTCTGTGAAATCTACCTATAAGCAGGACCCTGCAAAATTGGACCATAGTTTTTTGCAGTCTCCAAGGCCTAGGGCTCTTTTTTTGTCATTATTTGGATAAAACTCTTTACAGTTGCCCAATTACAACATGAACTGCAAATACAGTTAAACAAAATTAAATTTGAAACAAATGTCCAGTACTTTAACTACCAAGTATTGTCTCACCTATTAGCTAACATGTAAATTGAAGGCTTTGAAGCACATTGCAAAAGTTACTCATTTTTGTTTCCGAAGCTCTCGCTAATTTGGGGGCCAATCTTGTACCACTAAGATCAATCATAAAATTCTTATGGAATGATGCAGGTCTGCAATTCTGTAGCTCTCTTGCCGTAAATCAAGTCTGTCATTTTTTGCTTTTTAAAAAAGTAAATACCCAAGGCAGTCAAACGTTTTAAGAAGTTAAAAGGAAATTATCTTAAAATAAAGTAGAGACATTTCAGTCATTAAGATTCATGTCTCACATCTGTAATTCTCTTCTCTTATGATGGAAATGGAGGAAATGATAAACTGTAATATCTTACTTCATTTGTCAGAAATCAGTATCTGCCTTCCTTAGTAAGTGCCTTGGCAACTCCCACTTCCATAAGCCAGTAAAATATTTGAGGCGTCTTGTACAGCGAGTACTGCAGCTAACTACCTTCTCTACAGGAAGTGATTAATGTGCCAATCCACTAAGCAGTCCACGTGATATTCTACTACTGATATTCAGTTCTCTATTTAAATTCACCTTTCTCTGTTTTTTCTGCATCTGTCATTTGCTTAAGGAATTCTAAAGAGCTGACATCTCTCTTTTTTTTTTTTTCCTAATTTTTATCCTGACCTTACTTTTGATCCTTTGTCCTAATTTCAGACCAGTGTTACTGATTAAGACTGACTGAATTTAATTTTTTTATGCACCATATCTACTAATCAAATGCAATACATGGATTTTTGACACTCAGTATATAATTTTGCCAAAAAAATGGGAAAGAAAGGAAAGACAGGATGTTCATTAACCAGCAGTTTAATTCCTGAGTCAATGCCTGCTAAAGACATCAGCTGCAAGAATTTTATTTTCAGTTCCATCTATTCTTTATAAAGATAACAGAAAGACTCAAAAGTAATTTGGATTAATGAAGAGTATATGGCAGTTTTTAATCTCTGTTATGCTGCCGTAGTGTCCCTGGAAGCAGTGTCATCTTTGGACAGCAGGACTCAAACCATAAATTGGCATTATTGAGGAGAATTGTAATAGCAAAACTTGTTCCAGCTCTTTTGAGATAGCTACACCAGTTCATACGAGATAAATAGAACAGAACAAAAGTTAAAGTAAGAAAAAAAGACACTCCCGATTAGGTGCCAGAATGTCATTCGTGGTGTCCAGGAGAACAAACCACAGTACTGAATGCTACTAATAGTAAATCTTGAGTCTAGAAAGCAATTTTTTCTTAGATGTCCATGAACGTTATGGACATGTTAATTTTGTCCATTATTTATGGACATTATTTTGTTGCCTGTGTCCTATTCCCAGTTTTATTTGGCTCCTTAGTGCCCATGCCACTACTGAAAATGTTATTTCAAATAGTGACCCATTTATTAAGTCATGTTTCTCTGGTTATTTCTGTTGGAGTAGGGCTTGCCAAGGCTTACACTTATACAATCTAGTGCTGAAATTATAGGGGAAAGGAAAAGCAATTTTAATATTTGATAATTGATACATCATTTTAAAAGTAGAAGTATTTAGTTAATCCTTTTTTAGTATAATTTAGAGATTTCTGAATAAAAGTGAAGACTGGCTAGAAGACTGTATAAGTTAAAATAGTGATGCAAATTATTTCTATACTGTTTTCATTAGGCACTGCTTATATTCATGGAATGAAGCACGCCACTGGGAATTTTATTGTTATTATGGATGCTGATCTTTCTCACCATGTATGTGTGTATTTTATGTACTGTATTTTTAAATTGTTACAATTAAATTTTCATTGATTTCCCCTGCCTTCTCTTTTCTCATCTGTTTTCCTTCTATTTCAGCCAAAATTTATTGCAGAGTTTATCAGGTGGGTGCCAATTCTGTACACGAATGACTTCTGAGCGCTTATCATTTTGTAGTAACATTTGAAAGCTTTATATTATTGTATAGCTATTTAACTGCAGTAAGAAAACCGGCAAGGCAAGAATTCAAATAGAAGTAATTGGACCTCATTAGATTTGTCCCAAAATAATCCAGAATGTGTTAGTTCCTAACTTAAGCTAAGTTCCCCAAGTTTAAAGAAACAAACGGTATGCGTGGTAAAGTACTTCTGTTCCTCCTTTAATGGTTGTTTTGCTTTCAAAAGTGTATATGTAAATGGCATCTTCTGCT